ATTTTACTGGGTTTATCACTGTTCTGCATACGAAATTGAGTAAATTTTTACTGAAATGCCTTGTCCGTGCTTCGCAAATAAAGAAATAAAACTCAAACAGACAGACAGACAAACATTCAAACGAGCATATTTAACAATTAATTTATCTAACTTCATGCTGCAGTCGATGCCCCGGCACCCAACATACGTAACCAATTACGAAAAGTAAGGTTTGCATGAAGTACGAATGTGAGATACTTTATGCATATATGCACTATGAGATACAACACGCATATCAACGTGTTGGTATAACATAGTCAAATGTACCTGTGATGTGCAGCAAATGAAGTCAAAATTTCTCTTAAAGCGTGGCTTTTAATAATTTATATGGTGGTGCACTAGATTTTCTGAAGGATTATCGAGTGTGATGAGTACTTGGATTAACTCTGACCAACACGCAATACACACAGCCACGAGCGTTTTTGGGGCTAAATACTGGCTATCGGTGCGAATGAGTAATCATGTTCAAACAAACGCCCGCAAAATCAATTTTAAAAGAGAAATTCCAATACCAACCAATACCAACTCCTCTCGGTGTAATCATCGCACATTTTTACATTATCTGGCACGCAGGACTTTATTCCATAACCGAGTTTTTTCCTATTTTCCGCACATTATAGGCCTGTCCTTAATATTCATATTAACGATGGTTTTACTTTTCAGTTAGTGGCGAATTTTAGTCTATAAAATTTTTGATTTTAATACAAAAATACGTAATTTTCATACTTTCATATTTTCATATTATTTAAATGAAATGAGATTTTTAATTAAATATTTTGAATTTCAAAATTCTCCCAAAACAAAAAGGACTTATAATGTAATATTTTTGTGATGCAGTTTTTTCTGTTTTTACCTATTATTTATTAATTTATTGATTACTATAAATTTAAGTGTAAAAACTGGATTCATCATTAAAATGGAAAGCTTCAACTCATTATGGGTCCCTTATGCAAGCACACAAATAAATGTAAATAGCCTGAAATTTACTTTAGAGAGATTTTCAGACAATTCCAGTATTTTAGTAAAAAAATTAAACAGACATGCTCCATTACCAAGGAATACAAATATGTAGAAATTATAGTCCCCGATTGATTCGAAGGGACTCCAGCACCTTTGCTACAAACCAGTGAGTGTAGATCTAGATGAAAGCGGTGGCTCGTCTCGCAAAAAGAACCGGCTCACTTATTACTTGAAAATTAACTAACTATGGCATCACATGCGAACATATTCAAGTAAACTGACAAGGTTTTGATCTAATATATATAAAGATGATTTATATATCTGAGAGAGACCGAAAATAACAGTTATTTCACAAATTTTTATGAAAAAAAAGCAGTAACAAAAAGTTATCTAAACTAATATTTAAATATATAGTTATCATTCTAACAATAATATTATGTATCCTTTTTATATATAAGCATTTTAAAATAAAACTCTTTAATAAAAAAAAATATTCGGCAGACCAGTGCCAGTTATTCATGATTTTTATATTTATAACGCAAAAATAACAGTTATTTGAGTTTTAAAATAAAAAGCAGAATCTTAAGAGCTATTTCTGGGCGAAAAAATAAAAGGCACATAAAATAATTATTTTTGAGGAATAAAATATAAAGCAAATATAATTATTATTTTTTGTTTTAAGTTTTGTTTTATAATACGAATGATAATACTTATAAGGTATTTTTTTATTTTTTTTTTTATGATAACTGTTAGGGGCCCTGATATCTGATATATGTCATTTGTTTAATGTTTTAAAATAATAGATATGAAAATACTTAGTTCGTTAATGAATCATTACTATTTCACCAAAAAAAATTACCATAAATTGCTTTCAAAGTACACTTAATGAAGTGTCCTTCATTGATGCCTAATATACAGGTCCATAAGCATTTTTTATTGAATATTATTTTAGATGCATAAATTAATAATTTTAAATAGATAAAGGTACATGAGATGACAAAGAAATATATTTGGTTGCTTTCTTAGACATTGAAGGTGCTATAGAAGACACTACCTGTGACGCAATATATAATGCCCTCACAGACTACTACCTTGAAAACAGAATAATCAAATCCAGCTTGGAAGGCATAAGAATTACAGTAAAACCTGTCATTGATTATTCCAAAGGAAAAGATAAGGTAATACTATCTAATCAACCGAAAACCCCCCAAACAATGGTGCAAAACTGGTGCAACAGACAGCTACAGTCAATGAACTCATATAAAACTTATATCGTTCCGTTTACAAAGAATAGGAAATATCATCTTTTACGGCATATGACCTACGAGGAAACCATTTATATTTTAAATGAAGTTACATATCATGGCATAATACTGGATAGCAAACTGGAAACTGCAACTGGAAAACATAAATAGTTTAAAAAACTTCAACAACTATTCAGCTAGTTAAAGGAATCTATAAAAGTAATGGGGAACTTCGAACGTTTCTTTAAAAACAACTTCAGTTGTATCTCTAAATACTTTATTAAAAATATTCTACCTCTATGTCTAGTAAAGTATACTATCTCGTATACCATCATCAAAGTACAGAAGATAGCATCCATCAGCATACCTAGGCTAAATCGCAGTAGACTACTAAACCTTGTGGAACATTTACAAAACAAAGAACACATATCTTTGTTGATTAAACCATAATATATGATCCCAAAAATCATCACCATTATATCAAAAACAATTTGCGGTGGGAGAAGAACAGAATCTGTTGCTCTAACCAAACAAGGTTTAAGTTCAAGAATCCATAATTCAAATAACGAAATATTAGCAGTTTAGAAATTATTACAGTACTCCAAGCTCTGAATCTAATTGCATGGCATAAATTTCTTCAATAGGCATCTACTGGCAAAAAGATAACAGTTATCTCAGCTACGCTCCCATTAAGCTTTACGTTTAACCTCGACAAGCTCTCCACTGGATACTCCATATATCACATTGACTGTTTTCCAATGAATGAAATTAATAATAAAAGGAATTTAATCTCATTGAACTTTAGAGTATCACTTTTACTTAAAACAAAAGGGGAGCCTTAATACAGAATGGGAATTATAAACAAATTGTTCATGGGATTGCACTGACTAAGTATGTTGAATGGAAAGTCTAACTTTCTACACAAAAAATAGAAAGTTATTACTTTTTCTTTATTTAAGAATCTAAATATTATAAAGATTATTATTATTAAAATAATTGGCTAAGAATGCACCCCAACCTAAAAGATCTATTGTCCGCCTAAAGACCCAACTAATACAATTCTAGACTATTTATAAATCTTGCAATTGCTGTGGGCTTAATTTTACTTATTTGATTTGGGATTTGGGATTTGCGGTCATTAATTGGAGTCTTGGCTGCCAAATTCTATTAATCTGCAGCAGATTGAGGCTTTAGAAAAGTAAAACTCCTTTGCTATATCTCTGACTGCCGTTCCAGCGTTAAACTTTGCTACCATTGAAGATCTGATAACCAAATTCAACTCAGCCATTTTTTAAAAATTTATAAATCAATGTTTATTTTTTATCAACATTTAATATCGATTAAAGTTAAATACAAAAATTTTTTTATGTTTTACGTGTTCAAAATTGAAAAATATTTACACAAAGGTTTTGTCAAAATACTTATGCCGACTAGTGTATATCGATGTCATCATAACCATCAAATTTATATGCGATCTTTAATACATCTTGCGTGCTACAAGTCGCTTTTATTCTATTCCCAACATTCGCTTCTGCCATCTTCTGATTCTAGTATCTCGAAGTTGTTAAAGTATTGGGATTTTCCACTGGACGTCCTCTTCATAATCGCATTATTCGCAATTTTTAATTGATTTTTACTATATAGTAATATGAGAGAAACTTCTGCCTCTAGAAATTTGGAGTCTTATTTATCAACCTAATTTATCAGGTGAAATTTCATTGAATACGTATTCAGAAAAACATAAATTTTAAAATTATTTGCATGTGCTGCTTTCAGTTTTAAAGATACTGCTTTCAGAAATTGAATTTTTCAAATCACCATATATTATCCATTTCCAAAACGAATCTATTTGGAACACGAAAAACAGTACCAACCACAACCATGTGTTTTAACAGGACTAATTCTTATACTTTTCACTGTCACAGAACAACACACATCAATTTAAATCGAAAATTGTTTCCAAATTGACTATTTTCAAACGAAACTCCATCAAATCACAACCCTAAAAATATTTCAATCCCGTATAAATCAATTTCTCTGTTTTCGCCACGTCTCTACTCTTCGGTGGCGTACAACAAACGCTCACATATTAAAAAACAATTTGAAAACTATTTAAAATTGCAATTTAAATGTTTCTGAAATATTAAACAATTTTAATATTCATAGTTCATATCCCAGCCAAACAAATATTGATTAGGCAGTAAAATAAATAAAGTACATGCCACACAAATAACTAATCTCACAGATCCTTTGAACCTCATAAATCCTTTATTGCATTTTGTGTAATAATGTAATTATTTATGTCAAAAAACTAATATTTTAGTATTTTAAATATACAATTTAAATGTGATTAAATATTTGAAAACATTTTCAATTGCTTTTGAAATTTAAAGCTATTTTCGCACCTTGGCTAATGCAAACAAAATCATTCATTATCGAGTTTAGGTTAAAAATAATATGTTTACCCAAGCATCGTTATAATTATGTAGAATCATCAGGATTGCTCGTAACCATAAGCAAAATATGCCCACATGACACATTTTGCATAATCGAATTCACTGTTAAGTTTCCTTAAAGGAATCTCAGCATCCTTACGCATTTATCCAAACGCATTCCTTATGAATATGCAATGCCTGTTATGCTAATGAGATGCCTGCCCTGATTCTATGTGACATCATGAGGTGTTCTTAATTTTTGAAAATTCGTATAAAAGCCACTAATTTCGGTTCGACTGCATTAGTTGCTTTGGTCCTGCGATTGCTTTTCAAAGTAAATACAAATTGTGATCATGACAAACTTGAAATTGGTAAAAATCTGCGGATTCCTGCTTGTTATGCTCATTGCTTGCCAGCAGGGCATTGGCGTAAGTCGCTTCTGTGGCGATAAACTGACCGAAGTGTTAGACGTACTATGCGAAACAGGCTTCAATCACAAATTCAAAAAATCCCGTAAGTTAACGAAATCTTTGTATCTTTACTTGTGTTTTGGATTAAGTTTTGAGTAAGAATAATTGTGATCTTTAAAGAAATTGCAAACAACGATTTTAAAAATGATATTGAAGATGATGACTTCGCTTCTCCGTTTGGCGACTTTCCTTTAATGGGCGGACTATTTACTGAGGGTACTGCAAATATGTTGGCTAAGACCCGTCGGCGCCGTATGAATGGCATTGCTTACGAATGTTGCGAGAAAAAGGGCTGCACTGTTTTGGAGCTGCTGACATACTGTAACTAAAGGTATTAAATAATAATTTGGAACAGATTCTCTTATCATTGAGGAGCAGATTAAATAAATAATTTTTCTGAAAATTGTACTAAAATATTATCAACATTAAAACCTTGCATAAGTATATATGGAAGCTTGTTAATTTGTATTAAATAAATAATTGCTTTACTTCTCAATTGACGTGCATCCAATCAGTAACAAGTCCACAATATTACGCTTTCTTCCCAATAGGTTTCCAAAGAGAAATTTAGAAAAAGTAGCAAGCGATCTATTAAACGACCTGCTTAGTAGTAGATACAACTATTTAATGATGTATATGAAATTTAACATTATTTGATGTATCAATAATTAATTGGCAATTGGAGCCAATAAATGAAAATCCAATCCGTGAAATTTGTACGGATTTTGCATTAATGGATCAGAATTACAAATCGTTTAACTGTAGTTCCACATAAAACCCAAACTAAGATTTAGTGACGAAATTTCATGGGTAATATATTACTATATAACAAATTAATATTTTAAAAAATTTATTTTGAGTGTAGGCTATGCTTCCACCCAGTTTAAATCACAGAATATTTGCATTGGATAAATATTTTAGAAATATTTTATGTCTTCCGATATTATGTCTTTAAAAATATAGTAGATACATATGTATAGATACATATGTAAATTTAACAACTAATTTTGCCTTACCCGCAAAAACGGATGAAGCGAAAAAATTGCAAAACCTTCAGCTCTCTTATAATCTTCTCTCTTCGTGATATGAATTATGCCTCTGTGATCGCTATCGGATGGTGAATGACTGCATCGAAGCAATATGATCTTTTCGCATCGATATTAAAAATTAAATGTGTTGATGTTTAGGTTTATGCGCTGCCCTAGGTGTGTGCAGGTTGCTCCAGTGCTGGCCCGCATCAGCGGCAGCACTCGTAGGGCTGCGATGTTTGCTCCGTTCTGCCTTATCGCAATCAGATCGGAACAATGTTAACTTTTTCTGATGTTCGTGTTCTGCCGTGGAGTAACCTACATGTTTGCTGATTAGTCAACATGATAGCCACGATAATTAATGTGCTACAACAAATAAAATTGTGTTTCTGTGTAAAAATTTAAAAAAACATTTTTCAGTTTTTGTGTATTTTCTTATGAAATAGAGATGCGCAATGTAAGAAAAAATAAAAAAGAGAGCATCAAAATTAATTTTCAAGATAAAAGATAAAATATCTGTGGCGCAGCTATTGCTTTTGGAGATTTCGTACCGCTTGCATTTGCAAAAGGAACCGATATACTCGCAAGTAAAACTCTTGAATGAGTCTTTCTTGTTGTTCAAAGCACTTGTAATTAGTTTTTTATGGTAAAATTGATTATTTTACCTTTAATTCTTTTTCATAAGTCTTTTATAGAAGCAAAAAATGCTTATTAATATTTCTAGAAAATTATTTTTCCTAGGTATGAAGTTAAACATATTTTCCAAATAACATAATTTATGTGGCATTACCGAGAGTTCGCGCCCGCTCATACTTTTTCGAGTCGTTGGGGTGTAAGCCCACAAATTGGTGAACCGCAGCTACCACAAGAAAATTCATTGCGAGAGCTTAAATGCACACATTGCGGAAAAACAAAAGAATATATACAGTTAAAAACATATAGCTTCGGTCTTGCCGACTCAACATAGGCTGTAAAAATTTATTATATACATTGTGACCGAAAGGTTTCCGGAAATTTTTAAATAAAACGCAAAATTCTTAATCTTCATCAATATTTATTTTATCTCCTTCAAAATATGCTCCATTAGAAGCGATACACAAATGCAAACGTTTCTTCCAATCATCAAAACATTTTTTATAGGCGCTTTCCGGTATGGCTTTGAGTTCCCTCTGCGAATTCTGTTTTACGTCTTCTATGGATTCAAAACGCGTTCCTCTGAGTGGTAATTTGAGGTTGGGAAACAGGAAAAAGTCACACGGTGCAAGATCAGGTGAATACGGTGGCTGTTCGATGGTATTTATTGAATGTTTGGCCTTAAAATCGTTGATAATGTTGAACAAATTGAGGTGAATCGGAACAAGCCGGGCGTTGACACGTCGCATACACAAATTGTCCACCAAAATCAAACGAGCCATCTCACGACCGATGCCTAGCTCTCGTGCTATCTCTCTAACACTCACATGAGGATTTTTGAACACGATTTCCTTTGCCTTTTCAATGTTTTCGTCGGTGGTAGAGGTCGAAGGTCGTCCAGAACGCGGCATGTCTTCGACGGTCGTACGACAGTCCTGAAAGGCTTTGTACCACTCATAAACTTGAGTTTTCGATAAAACTGATTCCCCATAAGCCTTTTGTAGCATTCGCAACGATTCTGCACACGAAATTTCGTTCGAAAAACAAAATTTGATGCAAACTCTTTGTTCAATATTTTTTTCCATTGTTTTTTTCGCAACGCACTACTGAGGTGAACTGGTTTCAACAGCTGCCGTAAACGAACTGTCTGACAGATCGCGCTCATTTTTGGCATAGTAATTGTAGGACAGTTGCTGCCAAACTACATAAACTTAAAATATCGAAAAATATACAGCGCGCGAATTTTAAATGAGAATTTCCGAAAGCTTTTCGGTCACAATGTATATTATTATATTTATAATTATAAAGAGGTTTAAGAAAAGTAGTGAATTACAACAACAAAAAATATTTTTTTTATTTAGTTTTATTTATTTTTTTATTTCAATTAACTGAATTTTTGGCTGACCATACAGCTTTATAAACACAGTATTGCCAAATACACATCATCAGTGATCTTCGAAATAATACTTGTATTTAATAATTCGTAAATAATTTGTTTTTTTTTTTCAAGACTGCAAGTACCAGAAATGAAACTCGTGCCCTACCAAATTTGAAGCTCAGAGTCAGCGCTCCTTATGTTCGTACATATGGTATTTCTGGAGTTTTTGTTAATTTGCTGTGAAAGTTTTATTAATAAATCCACTTGCTGTGTTTATGTTAAAATAAAATCATAAACTAGCTGTAAAATAATAAAATTAATTAATTATATATTTATTTTTAATTGTTAAATTTTAATTCCATTGTATGTATATAATTTACATATATTATTTGATATTATAAAACCAAAATTCTTTTTATATTATTTTAATTAATTGAACTTTATAACAGTCACTTTCACAGCAAATTTATTAAAAACTTCAAGCTAGAACACACAAGTCAAGTACAACTTAAAGTCAATTGTCTAATGAACGCTGATTCTGAGCTTCAAATTTGATAGGGTACGAGTACAATTCTTGGTACTTGGAGTCTCAAAAAATTATTTACGAATAATTAAATATAAGAAATCCGCAGGAGTGCCGACAAAGAGGACGTTCAGCTGACACATGGCGCAAGCAACTTGGTCGCGAAGTTGCTAGGACTGATAAAACGTGGGGAGAAGTGAACGCGATTCCAACAGAACGAAACAGAAAAAGCTAATTATAGCTCTTTGGTCGTACATATATGGAACTAGTACATATATAAAATATAAGAAATAATTTCAAATAACTATGGGTAGTTAGCTATATTCGAAACTGCTATGTGGTCAGCCAACATTTCAATTAATTAAAAATATATAAAAAGAATTTTTGGTGTTATAGTTTACTACTCTTCGAAATCTCTCTAACAAATACAATAGTTTCTATTAAGCAAAATCGTCACTTCCGGTATAACTGCTAACTAAAAAATATATATTATAATACATAATATTTTAAATACATGTTTTATATCTTTATTTTAATATTAGTTGACATTTCAATGAATTCAACTAAGCCAGAAGATGAACGATCTCTACGAGAGTTTAAATTTTTCCTTTTCGACTATCTGCATTTAATGTGGAAAACGTAATATTAAAATATATTCGTCAAAAGGTGTATAGCTCAATGAAGGATACCATATAAAATACATAAAAGTACATATAAATTTTTGAACATTTGCAACAAATTCAAAATGGGTTTAGTGTTTTATATCTATCTTGCAGTATTGAATCTTATCGATTCTTAATAAATTTGTGTAATCAGTAACTAACATTCAGATTGACAAGTGCTAACTTCTTTCGACTTCTTTAAAAATGTTAATACATAAACCAATGCGACTAAGATCGGGAACATTTCAATTCAGTATGAGTTATTACAATTTTATTGAATATTGTTAATTATTATTTATTCCGATATCTTAGAACTAAGCGGAAGGAACTAGAACAATTCACCAGAATTTTTGGTCTGTTTTTAAATGGTTTAGCACAAACAATTTTTTAACAGTTTTTTAAGAGATGTAAAGGTCTATTAAATCGTTTTAAATATTAGTCAATCTTGAATTATAAGTTCTACATGAATGTAGCCAATTAAAAATAAATTCCAAATAACGTTGTTTTAACCAAAAGCTTAGATATTACCAATAAAATTTTTTATCATCAAAATTGAATCCATTAGTTTTATTAGTAAAATTAGGACTCTATTGCATCGAAAACACATAATACTGGCGAAAAGTGTAGCGCTGCGGAACAATTCCATATCAATGTAAATTCATTCAATGATTTGCTTTTGCAATATGAATCCATTAATAAAACACACTTAGCGTGACTAATAAAGGAATTACCAATGACTTCAAAGTTGTTCATGAAGAAATTCTCACCCTTATTTCGCAACTCAGATACGTTGATACGCTGTATCTAGAACAGCGCAACGTGAATTTCGCCAACATTTCAATTTTTCAATGTCAAATGGAAGCTACACTTTTGCTCTCCCTCATTTAATTGATTGAAAGTCTAAGTCCATAATTTATTATGAAAATTTGTCCTTTAAGCAAAAACTTGGAAGTAATCTAAAAAATTTTCCAAAATTTCAAACAAATTCAGAAATTAGAAAAATGCATAAATATTTATACGAGGGTTGTTCACGAAATTTTTAACAAATAAATAAAGAAAAAAAATTTAATTGGTTCAGATAAATCTTTCTAAACTTAATGCATTTTTCCCATCGATATTTCAACCTCTTAAAAAGTGCAATGTCTCAAGACGTTCAACGGTCTTTATTCAGTTACGACATAAATCATCTCTTCAACTGTTAAGTATTTTTGCTTTCTGGACTAAGTTTTCACACTTGGAGACAA